ATAAATCTATACAGAAGCAAAAAGTAATGACTCCATAGATTTCAAGAAAATCAACTAACAAATGAACCTGATTTACTGAAACACTATAGTTGGGTTCTTGCATAAATGGAAACCCCTTACTCTGCTATCTGTAAGTCAAGGTATTCTTCCTACTGGAAATACGAGACTCACTATTTCCACCCAAAGTGGAATACATGTGTGTATATGTATGCGTGTCCACATACACACACATACACAAGGAAGCCCAAAGTTACCAGGCTTCCTCACCAAGAAATGGACTTGACATTCATTCCTAAAGGAGCACTCTCGTACAGTGCTCACTTGGCCATGTGTTTGTTCACCATCACTGGATTAACTCAAGATAGTACAATAAATTTGCTCCCTGTTGATTCAACCACTGCTACATAGGACATTATTTCCTCAAGTATAAGAGTCTGTATTTTTCTTCTTCCCACCCAGGATATCTAAAAGCCAAAAGCTTTTCCGCAAAAGATTAAGAGGCAAAGACATAATCAAATGTCTTCATGCGACTGATAAATTACTATATAATTACAGTAGGGCCAGGAATGGTAAGACATGAGCAGAAGTAAAATCACTTTCCAGAGTTAAGTCCCTGTAGTCACATGCCCTGGGTTCAAACCACAGCTCTGACTGTTATTTTAATTTCTGTGCCTCAGTTCCCCTCGTTTAAAAACAGAGTTAATAAGAGCTCCTACTCATAACATTAATATGAAGATAGAGTAAGGATCATGGGCCTGGTACATCAGTGAATATTTAGCAAAAGCTGGCTGTTGTTATTATTTGGGAGCAAGTATTTTCTGATCCTTTAAACCTAAATATTGTCTCCCTTTGAGCTCTACAGTTCTTTTTTTCTGTTTCATATATATTTGTTCATATTTTAGCTTTTGTATAATCATAACTGCAGCTCAGTTTGAGAACCTTTTTATTTTTTAATCTTTTTTTTCTAATCATAAAATATTTTTTTTTAATTGTTGGGGATTCACTGAGGGTACAAGAAACCAGGTTGCACTGATTGTATTTGTTAGGTAAAGTGCCTCTTAGACTTGTGTTTTGCCCCCAAAAGGGGTGTCACACACAGAGACTCCCATCCCCCCTTAGTTATAATGATACCTTATTCCCCCCCAAAGCTGATTTAAGATAGAAATTTCAGTATATTATTACTAACTTACTTTGATTTTAAATCATACTCTCCTCCTTACTCTATATCTCTTGTGACTGAGGTTCACAAATAGAAAACATATCTACATTCAAAATAAAACTGAACTAGAAAACAGAACTCAGGCCAAGCATAGTGGCTTACATCTGTAATCCACTGGATTTTCAGAGGCCGAGGTGGGAAGATCACTTGAGGTCAGCAGCTTAAAGAGAGCCTGAGCAACAGAAAAAGACTCTGTCTCTATTTAAAAAAAAAAAAAAAAGTAAAATAGAAGTTAATTCACAAAGATAGGCAAATTTTCAGGCACACATCTACCTATTCCATGTACTTTCAAACATACATCACTATGGCCTGTGTGCAGTGGCTCATGCCTGTAATCCCAGCACCCTGGGAGGCTGAAGCAGGCGGATTGCTTAGCTCACAAATTTGAGACCCACCTGAGCCAGAGCGAGACCCCCATTATCAAAAGAGCTGGGCGTTGTGGCCAACGACTGTAGTCCCAGCTACTTGGGAGGCTGAGGCAAGAGAATCTCTTAAGCCCAAGAATTAGAGGTTGCTGTGAGCTGTGATGCTACATCACTCTACAGAGGGCAGCATAGTGAAAATGTCTCAAAAAAAAAAAAAACACATCACTACTTACTGAAATAAATTAACTCACTTCTAGATTATTTCTCTGGTTGATAATAGCTCTGTTTTTTTAAGACATTTTCAACATTTACATTTCAAAGGTGTTTAAGAAGTTGAATAATAAATAATGTTTAACTAAATAGCATTAGTTGGTACAAATATCTTAATGCAAAGAAGTTGATAAAAACAATATTTATTGAATCACTGAGCTAAAATGGAATTCCTAAACCCTTATATTAACATCTACAATTTAAGAATTCTCCTTCACTTCACCCTACTAAGTTTGGGAATTGTTTCTGACTTGATGACATTTTGAAAAAGGCCAAGCATGAAACAGAGACCACATCTCACAAAAGGAATAGTCCCAAGCTTTTTACAATGTTGGTTGTTAATAATATCATCACTTTTGAGTAAAAGTAATTCCAATATGAAGAACCCAGAGAATAAGTAATATTTCTAATCTCAAAACGACAAGACTCAAGGATGCATCTATGTGGTATAAGTCACTACCACATAAGGTCAAAGGTTAAAAGAAGCCTTAAAGTCAAATACCAGCACTCTTTGGGTGCATGCTATGTACCTACAATCTCAATCTTCTTCCTATTTCTTAGAATCATTTAGAACAAGTTTCATTCTTCTTCCATGACAGTCCCTCAAAAATCCTAGCCATTGTTCCCCTTACCCTTCCCTGCTCCAAAAGAAACCTCCCCAATTTTCCCATCATTCCCCCCGAAACATTTGTTTCCAGCTCTCTCATCACTCTTGTTTCTCTCCTCCAAACTCAGTTCAAATTTGCTATGTCTCTCCAAAAACATAGTACTCAAAACTGAATAAAAGATGCCCAGTGTCACCTGACCACGTGTGGCCAGGACCAGTGGTAGCATACAGTAACAGAACCCCACTGCTATTCAAGAGAATAATGCATTCAGCTAAAAAGCTACACTTCCCAACCTTCAGCTACATGTGGCCAAGGGCCTAACTAACTCTTGATCAAAGAGGTCAAATGCAAGCAGCAGTGTTGTGTAGGACTTCTATGAAGTCTTTTTTTTCTTTTTTTGGAGACAGGTTCTTCCTCTGTCTCCCCAGCTAGACTCCAGTGGTATCAGAGCTCACTGCAACCTCTAACTCCTGGCTTCAAGCAATTCTCCAGCCTTAGCCTCCCAGAGTGCTAGGATTATAGGCATGAGCCACCACACTCAGCCTGAAGTTCCCTTTAAAAAGTGAAAGCACACCTTTTGTTCTCCTCCTCAAAGCCCACCACCTGGTGTGGAGAAAGGGTAGCTATGGCAGTAGCAGCCAATAGGGTCAATGAAGTGACTTTAAGAAAGAAAGCCACCAGCCAAGAATAGTGGGGCAGGAACTAGGTGTATGGGTTCTGATGATCCCATGGAAGTACCCAACCAGCCCTCTACTTCTGGTTAGGTAAAAGAGAAATAAACATTTATCTTCTTCAAGCCAAACAAAATCATCTTTACGACTGCAGGTCAGAGTAGAGCACGCCTGTTCTCTCCCTACATGATGGAGTTGCTTCACTACAACTCATGCTGCTCTTTTAACTTCCCATTAAACAGACATCTCTTCTGGCTTAGGCATGGCACGGTGCCAGACACAAGAGACCAGGAGGCAGGCATGACTTCTAGCACCAGGGGTCCTATTCAGAAGAAGAGGTAAAAAACATACATAAATAATTATAATTTGTGGTATGATGATGAACGGTACAAGAGAGGTTGAGTTACACGCAGTAAAGATCAAGAAAGGCCCTATAGGAGGGGATATTCAAGGAACAAAACTGTGGGTCTGAGGGAAGGAGTTTCCTAGCACAGAACTAGCACAGACGCAGGAAAGTGCAAGGCAGGCCAGTCCAAGAAAGAGCCCATTCTTCATCCAATGTCACTGACACACATCTTCATATTATAAACATTGTCCTTGAGGCAATTTTATGTAAAGTAAAAAAACAGATTTGCAAGATTTTATGACACCCTGGAAAGCCACTGAGTGCCTCCAATTCCCTAGGCATTTATGGGGCACCAACTGTTTTTCCATCACATGAGAGTTTCTGCCAATCCACAAAGTCATTCTAATTTTAAACAAACATCAAACATCTCCTATAATTTAAAAAGCCACTTGGAGGTAACAACTTGCCAATGTTCTTCTCAACTGACAGAAATGTTTCCAAGAGGTATATTCTGATATTTAAAGAACCATAAATGCACAAACCAAATGTTGTTCTCCTTTTCCTCTTGTAATTGATTATTAAATTGATTATATATATTCAATAAAATTACAGAATCAAGTGAGTAAAGCATGTGGAAATAATGGAGCATTCAAATTAAATATACACGGCCTCGAGCCACACCTCCCACTTGACCTCCATACTTCCCACTTGACCTCAGTTTGCTCACTGGAAAAAGGGGGCAGTAATAGTATCCACCTCCCTGGGCTGTCAGAAAGACTAAATACTATAGTCAGGGCAGCAGTTCTCAACCTGTGGGTTGCGACCCCTTTGGGAGTCAAATGACCCTTTCACAGGGGTCGCCTAAATACATCCTGCATATCAGATATTTACATTGTGATTCATAACAGTAGCAACATTACAGTTATGAAATAGCAATGAAAATAATTTCATGGTTGAGGGTCACAACATGAGGAACTGTATTAAAGGGTCAAGGCATTAGGAAGGTTGAGAACCACTGAGTTAGGGTGACTGTGCACGAGGCAGATATACTAGTAAACGTCAGCACGTGACAGCTCTTACTACCAGTGTGATCTCCTCCTGCCTCCCCGTTCACTTCCTATCAACCAAGAAGAGCCCTACAGGATACTACTGGCATTTGGCCCCGGACAATTCTTTGTAGTACAGGAATGTCCTTCATATGGCAACTGGTTTGGCATTTCTGTCCTATGTGCTCCTACACATTTCCAAATGCCCCCTAAGGGAACTGACCCAACCAAGAATTAATGAACTAAATCAAAATAATGTCACAGGCCATTGACCCAGATAGTCAATATGCCAGAACTTGTCCATACAGGAAGATTCCAGAAAATACCATTGAGTCTTGAACGTAACATATGTACATTGAAAAGACATATGAAATATTCCTATAAACAAAACATACTAACTTGTAAAATAAGTAATGGGAATGATCAAAACCATTAACATATAAAAGCTTTCTCTAAATTCCATGGTGACTCTCACCCCTTCTCATCACCTCCAGGTCCATAAGTTTAGGTCGACCCTCATCATCTGTCACCCAGATAATTCCATTCATCCCTAATTTCACTGGTTGATTATCTTTATAAAATGAAAATCTGATCAGTGTGCTTCCAGGCCTATGTCTCTCCAAAGGCACGAAACTTCTTAGCTTGACTACAGAACCCTCCCAGCCCACTCTCCCAGCCCTGTCTCCCACAATCTACCCTCCTTCAAGGACTCCAGGGGCAAATCTGTGCAGTTTCCCCTGCTCCCTCAGGCCTCCTTAACCCCACAATTCCCTATGCAGTGCTCTCGGGCCTCTGTTATGGCACCTCTCACCCTGCAGTGCAATAGTTTATTTACACATCTTATTCATCTGTGTAAACCCAGTTCCTGATAAAATAGGCTTTAAGTAAATGTTTGTGAAATAAAGACATTTGTGATCACTTTAACCATGACTATTAACCAACCCTAGTTTGACAGTTTTCTCACCTATTGAACTTCTCACTGACTTTTCTGTAGTTCCATCAAATATAATACCAGGGAACTCTTACAAGAGAAAAAACTCCTCATTAACTGTCATTCTAACAGTTTCTACCCAAAACCTCTCTGAAGGGCTGGCACTCCGAGAGGCCGAGATGGGTGGATTGCCTGAGCTCACTTCAAGACTAGCCTGAGCAAGAGCAAGACCCTGTCTCAAAAACTAGTTGGGCATTGTGACAGGCATCTGCAGTCCCAGCTACTTGGGAGGCTGAGACAAGAGAATCGCTTGAGCCCAGGAGTTTGAGGTTGCTGTGAGCTATGCACCATGGCGCTCTACTGCAGGCAACAAAAAGAAACTGTCTCAAAAAAAAAAAAACCTTGCATGAAATCAAGTATTCCTTTTGGAGTGTACTCTTCCCTAGAGAACTTCTCTTTGAGCAGAGAATGCACCTGACCTGTATGTAAGTCCATCCTTCCACCATTCTTCTTCACAGAGTTACAGAGACATCATCAGTAAGCTCTGCATAAAACCAAGTTTACAGACACCATGCACACAGTACACATAAAATGGAAACACCAGGTCCACTGAGAAGTTTAAATTTCTCAGCAACTTGACATTTGGATCTGCACCTTCAAGACTTGCGAAGTGGAGGACCACGTGACGTGCTTGGGGTAGACAGGCAGGTTACAAGGCCTGTCTTCTCATATTTCCTTGTCTGCTAGTTTCATCTCCCTAAAAATGTTGTATTTTTAACCAGCAATTTCTGTGGATAGAGAATTTGACAAGTGGTTTCTTTATTTCAAAAAGCCACAGCATGGTGGCTGCTCTGCTATACTGACCTAACCAAAAGCGGGTCAACTATGAAAGATTTAGCACCAGGTCCCCTGTAGGGCCAAATGTTTACTGAATGCTCACCGAAATGCCAGGACCTTGCGTGTTCACAATTTCCTTGAAATAGTCCCAGAAACCTATGAGGTAGAAATTACTAACCCCCGTTGTACAGTATAGTCCAGGAAACTGAAACTCAGAGAGCTCAAGTGGCTCAGAGGTACACATGGGGAAAGCAGCAAGCTAAATCTCTAAGCTCCAATTCCAGGTTGAGTTTCCTAGTCCCAGAGGGATCCCATTGCAGGTTAAGGATGTCCAACATAAACCCTACTGAGCTTGGGGGGTCCTTGGGCAACTGAGGAATGGGTAGTGAAGCACAGCTAGGAAGTTTCTACAACAGTAGAAAGAGGCTGAAATTTTGTTTGGTAGTCAAAGATTTAAATTTGCATCACGACTTCAGAACATTCCCGCAATTTAAGCTACCTTTTATACCTTAAAGGAAACTACAGGCATTTTCTCTTTATAAAATGAGATTTTAGCACAGAATTTTTGTAAATATGTAAATATGTACTAGCTCCTCAAAAGCTATTCAAGATGCCAAATATTCCTTCTTGAGGCAGTTCAGACAACTCTATATAACTCGTCCTACAATGCAAATATTCAGAAAATGCAATGGCATTATTTGAGGCTATTGGATATAATTTTTTAATGTTCTGGGTCATATTTCTTTGGACACAAGAACATAAAAAGTCATGTAAGCAGTGAAGAGAATTTTCAATTATAAAGATTCTAAAAGGTAACAACATTTTAATTGTATATTTGTTTCTTTTTTTTTGAGACAGAGCCTCAAGCTGTCTCCCTGGGTAGAATGCTGTGGCATCATAGCTCACAGCAACCTCCAACTCCTAGGCTCAAGAGAATCTCCTGCCTCCACCTCCCAAGTAGCTGGGACGACAGGCACCCACCACAATGTCTGGCTATTTTTTCATTGCAGCCATCATTGTTGTTTGGCAGGCCCGGGCAGGATTCAAACCCGCCACTTTAGGTGTATGTGGCTAGCGCCTTAGCCACTTCAGCCACAGGCACCGAGCCTTAATTGTATATTTGTATGGGACTTTTTAAATGCAATCAGGTTTTACAGATGAATTCAATGAATATATCCGAATATTTTATTAAATTCCTCTAAATGAAGCAGGTAACGTATCCATGAAAGTTCCCTTTTAGGCCAGGCTCAGTGGCTCGTGCCTGTAATCCCAGCACTCTGGGAGGCCAAGGCAGGTGGATTACTTGAGCTCAGGAGTTTGAGAACAGCCTGAGCAAGAGCAAGACCCCATCTCTACTAAAAATAGAAAAATCAGCTAAGTATTAGACACCTGTAGTCCCATCTATTCAGGAGGCTGTGGCAGGAGAATCACTTGAACCCAAGAGTTAGAAGTTGCTGTGAGCTAGGCTGACAACAGGGCGCTCTAGTCTGGGCAACAGAGACTCTGTCTCAAAAAAAAATAAAAAATAAAGTTCAGGACAGCACCTGTGGCTCAAAGGAGTAGGGCACTGGCCCCATATGCCAGAGGTGGTGGGTTCAAACCCAGCCCTAGCCAAAAACTGCAAAAAAATAAAATAAATAAAGTTCCTAACTTTAGCCAACAGCCAAACCTTGTTATTTCTTATATTCCTCATTGAGTCTTAATTCAGAAAAAGAAAACAAAATGTTAAATGGCAATAATTAAAAGTTTATCCTAGAGCAAGTTTCAGCATTACTTACTGCCCTGTTATCCCTTAACGTACTATGTACACACTTACTTATTAAGAGTCATTTCTCTAAACCATTCTTTCAAAATGTGCTGAGGTAAAGGAGCAAAAGTTTCCTTTGGCCTGACTTTTCCTTAAAATCATATATTAAAAGTTACCCCGGTGTGTCCCTCTCAAACTAAAACTTATTCCTAAGAGGAAGGGTGACAGAGGGATGAGAAGAAACAAACTCTAATTTGTTCTCAGTAAAACAAATCAGAAAATAGCCTTTAATCTTGAGTACAAATTCGCAATTTAGTCATTTATTTACAAAATTGATGGAAATTGTTAACAAGGAGTTAATTGATTTAAGTCAGCTGATGGCTACAGTTAATTAACCACAGTGACTTAATCTTCTTTGAAAACATCAACTAATCATTTCCCAGGTGTCAGGGGTAAATTGTTAAATAAAAAATAAACCTCTGTCCTCCTCTTCAAGGGAGATTTCTGAAGTGTGTTTTCTTTGTAGACGCCAATCTAGCAACAAGCCAAGTTTGGAGAAATGTTTTTCTTATGGCTCTACTGAAAGAGCTGCCCTCTTTCCAGAGTATTTTCCCCGCCATTACAATAAGGGAAAGGCAGCCTTACAACCTTATCATATGTGTCATTTTGAATTACTTCAAAGAGGAGCAAGAAACACTTCTTGAATAAAAATGGGCAAATGAAAGGTGATTGAGACTGTCATGTGGGAAAGTGAGTTTTCAAAAAAGGGACTTAAAAAACACTTCACTGGATGTGACTACATAGGAATAACACAAGAGAATTTTTAGGAGGTGAGTGAACCGTTCTAATCCTGATCAGGGTGGTGGTTAGGCAAATATATATACAAGCATTAAAATTTACAGAAATGTCCATATACACCAATTTCTGCCTATGTTAATTTCTAAAGTAAAGCATTTCATAAATGCCAATGCTCAAAGCCCATCCCTATAAGAGTTCTAAAATCTTATTCTCTTTTTTACAGATAGAAAAATTAAGGCCAACCACTTGTCCCCACCTTAAAAGAAAAGGGGGGATAAAAAAAAAAAAAGCACCGTTAGAGAAATCAGAAATACATCCCATGTGTCCCTTCTTGATCCAGTTCCCAATTAGCAGCACCAAAAAATTAGAACCAATTGTCTTTGATCAACCAATGTGCCCATAGAGCAGGAAATGCCCTGGAGAAAACCAAAGTCCCAGGTCACTGTGACAAGTCACACTTAGCCCTCATAAAAGGAGAGGGTACTAGGGCTTTAATAAAACCCCATCCGTCTTCCCTTCCCTTTCTCATTCCTTCAATCATGGCAAAATGCTTGCAAAATAAATCTGGATTACAATAGGATTTTGTTGCACATACTCAAAATCAGCAACAACTATTAAAGACCTTTTGATTTCCCTTACAGGGAAATTGTTCAATACAGTATGTTCCTTCTTAGCTCAAGTCCTTCTTGGTGCTATGTCCACTCTTGACTGAACTATTGAGTTTAATTATTTACAAGCAAGAAGCATCTAACTTTCACTGTCTTCTAGTTAGGACATTCAATTTTTAAACCATGTATTTTGTTGTTCACTAGAATCTCAGCATTGAATGATTACTTGGCAAATTCTTTCAACACCTCACTGCACCAAGTATTAGGGAAGAAGTAAATTTTTATGTCAGAAGTGACCTGGAAAAAAATTCAGAATTTTGGTACATAAAAATTAACCATTCTGGGCAGTGCCCGTGGCTCAAAGGAGTAGGGCGCCTGCCCCATATGCTGGAGGTGGCAAGTTCAAACCTAGCCCGGGCCAAAAACCGCAAAAAAAAAAATTAACCATTCAGCAATTCACTTGGGATAAGTGTGTATTTGACCATGTTCATTTGCAAATTCTTTTTTTATTACACCCTAACTTAAAAGAAAAACATAGTAATGATGGCAGGCACCTATAGTTCCAGTTATTATGGAGGTCAAGGGGGGAGAATCACTTGAGCCCAGGAGTTTAAGTCCAACCTTGGC